TAAATTCTGAACGAACTCGCATAGTATCTATATGGAGTCGTTTGGCATATCCATGTGGTCTTGTTTAGTATCGCACCATATATAAATAATGTATAGGCTATAGGCCTGCTATATATAATATAATTCGTTACATTTATATAGCGCTTTTCTAGCTACTCGAAGCGCTTTACATATGGAAGAGGGAATCTCCACAATATAGGATATGCACTGAATAGATATTGCTTACGTTTCATTTTCCCAGTTATTCCCCCGTTCTTCTGCAGTTAGAGAAAGTAAATAGTTCTTCATAACAAAGTCTAAGCTGAATCAAAAAACAATAGCAACAACTAAAAATGCATTTTAATTTCTGTAACAATTATATTAGCATTTCCGCATTTATGAGTGTCTGATACAGAAATTGACTTTCAAAAATAAACCTAAACAGTGCGACATAGACCTATGGCGATTGTAATTAAAAAGCACTTCTTAACATTTAATATTAGTTTAACTGTATGACACTATGCCTTTATGAATATACAAATATGTCCAAGTATTTTTCTCTTCTCTCATCAATAGACACACCCAGGCTACTGTCAGTCTGCGTTAGTTTCACTTTCCCAGCTCTGCGGTCACAGAAAGTAAACACTCCTTCAATAACAACAAAAGCCATCTGTTAAAAACACGGTGAGAAGCGAGAAAAAAAAAAATCCTCAAATAGTAGGCCTAATTTCTGTAACAAAATTTAGCGTAGCCTATGTTAGTATGTTTAGATGGTAAATTAAAAGACTAGCCTGCTATTTATTATTCAAATCTAGGTTGACATTCCACAGTTTAGTTTAAGTTAACCCTCCCTTGATAATAATCCATGAATCATCCAAGTCCAGTAGTTTCTGTACGTGTTTTTCACCGCGCACTAACACACACATGAAGAAGAATAAAAGGAGCGCGTGCGCTGCACAGACGCAGATCTTCTCACGGCACGTGAACAAGGTACAGTATTCTTCTGTTTGTCTGATTTGTATTTTTTTTTTTTTTAATAAGACCAACTTTAATTACATAATTGGATTGTTTTAAACTTTACGCCAGATGTCGTCAAACTTTACGCTTTTATTTTTGCGTTGATGCCCAGCAAACACGTCTCTCCAACACGTCCCGTCATGGTTGAAATATAGTTCCAAAATGAAATTGTCTTTGACATTATCTGTTACATATTTTTACCGATTTATGCCGTCATACCGCGACTATTTTTGGCCAGGGACACGACGTTGCCGTCGGACCAATGTTTGCATTCTGTAGTCCAGATGGGCTGTACCAACTTTACTGAGAAATGAGACTTACTGTGTCCACTTGTTGGTCCAAGACTAGATTGAAACTGGCTGTAAAGTAAAATAATATAAAATAGGCCTAAATAATTAGGCCACATTTGGTTTTTGACAGCTTTTATTTTGTTTTATTTATTTATCAGTAGGCTACAGCTATTAACCACATAAAGAGTTGAGCTCACTGTCGGACTCTTGGAGGATCTGTGTAACTTGGTGCAGTTTAACTTTGTTTTACATTTTTATCTGTATAAAGATTATCTGAAGATAGAAAAAAATCTGAGGATAATCACTGAATGACAGCTGATTTAGAACGCTATTATGGTCCCTCTAAATAAAAATAAAAAATGTATTATATCAGTAATACATTATATACTATAAATAATATAATATAATTATTAAAATATAATTTTTTATGAATTCATTTCATAAATTAAATAGAGGCTACATATTACACTGCCGTACTTGTAATATACACGCAAGTAATAGGCTATATATAGTAATATATATTGTATGATAAAGCCCAGGCAAATGTAATTTTCACTGTATTCAGTCCTTTTTATTATTTTTTTCTCTGTCTGTTTTCTAGACACAGAATGGTGCGACTGAGAACACTGAATGAACTGTCCCATCTGAGAGACACCGAGTTTGGTCAGCCGTATCCCAGACATGGTCTCAGTCTGCTGTGGTGGTTTGCTGATGAATGTGTTGATATTGATGACGACGGCAATATGATTGCACAAGGATGCGACCCAGAACATAAAGACTTTGGTTTTCATCCGTTCCATAACAGGGAAGGCATTCTTCCTGATTCTGTCCTACCGTACTATGAAGTGGGTAACCTGCACCATCCGGGCAACATGCCTAATCAAGTCACTAAGAACTACGACCCCGATGAGCGCCAAAGCAACGCAGATCGTATTGTCGTTTCAGTCGATTCCAACTGGAATGGCAAACGGTTTGACATGATTTACGTGACACATCACCTAGGGAAAGGCCGCTTCGATGAGAACGAAACCTACCGCATCAGCAAAGGCCTCATTAGGAAAATGAAAAGCATGGAAAGGTCAGATTTCATTAGGGAAGTTAAGATCTAGTAGCGTCGGCGTTGAGCTTGTGTTGTGTGTGTATGTTTATCTATGCAGTCTGAATCCTACAGACAATTATCCTACAGCTAATTTAAATCAAACATTCCTGTTCATCCAAAATAAAATGCATTTAACAGCAAGTGTCTTCCTGGAATTTCCATAACGAATAACAAACTCATTTATTTGAATTGAGCAAATTGATTTGGGTCTTATAAATGGCTCATCCGTTTCATTTTAGTGCTGGATGAGAAGTTTTATGATTCGTCATATATAGATTAGTAAAATGGATTGTATTCTGTCTGTTTACTTAAATGTTTACGGTTTAATTAATTGTGTCTAATTAAAGAAACATTAAAGAATTGTTCCCCAAAAAATTTAAATTGTCAATTTACTGGCTTTCAAAAACAAGCCAAACCAGAACATTTTCACTGCAGAAAAAAGAGAGTAATTTCAATTTACAGTTATTAAAGCTGCAGTAGGGAGTTTTGAGAAAAAGTTGACTTAGCCTGAAAATTTGAACAAGCACAACTTACAGGTCCCACCCCCTTGCTCTCTGCTGCGCTACAGCCCTCCCTCCACAGCTCGTCCTCCACAGCGGAGCCTGTCGGGAACGCGCAGGCTAGTAAACAGGGCCACCGATGACGGCGGATAAAAAGTTATATGGCACGTTCACTAATAGGGACTAAACGTCAATAATATGCTTTACATTGACTATGGCCTGCCCATACTTTGACTACAAACTTGGTCCTCAAATCATTATGTATTTTCCAATAGCCTACATGTAACTTTATAACGTTGCACTCTTTCTATAAGTTATAAATAGCTAGTAAGATAACGTTAATATAACGGTTGTAAGTAACGTTACAGTATGTAAGTAATTATCTAGCGATATATAATGCTAGATAAGGTGTGCTAGTACATTATTTCAGCAACATGACAAGCCAGTGAATTAGCAGGTTTCAATTGTTGCTAAGCAGAGTGCGTGACATTTTATCTACATGTTATGCGGCTATAGTTTTGACACCGAGTCAATGGGCTCTGTGTAATTCTTTCTTTTTCGCTTGGTTATCGTCATCGGTCTTTTTCCTTTTACCTCTTTGTTTTATGAGCAGGTGTCACTCGAGAATTGGCAGTTTAGGTTGTTTCTCCGTCATAAGCACAGCTGCAGCACGCCGGCAATCTTGAGTTTGAACGACGGCTCGCGCTGTGCAAGAGAGGGGTGTGATCAGCGCGTACACGAGCGTGATTGACAGTGCTAAGACATTCCTCCTGGCTCTGATTGGTTGTTTCTGACCGGGAGCGTGTATTTCTGAAAATGGCAATAGGACCACTGGGAGGAGCCAGAGGAGCTTGATTTTTACACAGATTATCTGTCTCATATTCTACTGTCAGGACATAATGACAGTTTTAGCAAATACATGTTTTCAAAAGTTACCTACAGGAGCTTTAATAACATAATAATAACATAACATATTTTTATTACATAAGATTGAATTGTATGATACTGTGGCTTTATAAATAGTTATATCAGCTGGGTCACATGCACATGAAGAGACGTTCAACCAGCATAACAAAAAATTATTCTGGAACAAATCGCCTACCCTGTGTCACGGTGGGTTGCAGGAAGGCAGACGAAGAAGATAATTTCCAATACAATGTTTTAATGATAATTAATATAGGAGACAAAAGAGGTGGTGAAGGGATGAACATATTGGAGGCGGTTTCGGAGGAGGACGAAGAGGTGGTGAAGGTATAGACATTCTTAGTGAACTTCCAGTGACTTGAGTCACAATACGTGAAGCTGAGAGTCTCGCGGACTCCCAGCCTCACGGGCTCATCTGAAGTACAGAAAAGGCCCTGATCTCTAGTTGCATTTCATTATATAGCCAGACCTCATTTCATATGTAAACATGAGTTCACAGTGGAAATTCACTGTGATCACCCTCCCAGACTTACTGGGGGCAGAAGTTGGTTTAAATGGTACCATTTGCTAACCGTGGGAATTAGCATTGAGTTCACACCTTCTGAGAGCAGGAGGGTTTACCCATCCACCCTCCTTTGTGTGTGTGTTATCTCTAAACTCTTAAAAACCGTATTACCTTTTGTTTTACTTATTTGGAAATGAGACATTTGAACCAGTCGCACCGAGACATTTCGAATGATATTAAACATGTACAAAATACTCGATGATAATCATTCAAATTAAACCATTTCGATTCTTGTGTGAGTTTTAGGTGTCCCTGAGAGAGAGAATGAAATGTAGATAAGGTGAGATTTTCGTCTCTGGGGAAGAGGGGGGATGTCAAATGTTGATTTCCAGCAAGGTCCTTTGTCTCATAGACCAGTGGTCAGGTCTATCTCTTCAACCAGTCTTAGTAAGAAAACCAGTCTTACATAGGCGACTCGGCACTCAATTTGACATAATAAAGAGGTCATGTGACACATTTAGTACACTACAGTTTGAATATTTTTTGAAGTACATCCTGCTCCCTATTCAGTAAGTTAGGTAGTGCTCCAAAATAAACAGCCCCCAAAAAAGAGGAAGTCAGAAAGTCTCAAATTACATTCTCTTTCATTTTAAGAGCCGCAGTGAGCTTCTCTTCTTCCTCTCTCTCCTTCACCACTGCTCAGGGGGAAACAGCAACACAGAGGAGATCCCTCCAGAAAATAACTATGGTTTATCAAAAAGAGGTACAGTAGCCTTCGGGCTTTATTCTTTTATCTTTTTGTCCACACTCAAAGAATTATTTCAGTTGTAACTAAACTTTTGCTATTTGATTCTTCTTGCAAGATCGGTTATGTGTGATCATGAATTGTAAGTGCACAAAAAACTGTCGTCAAGAAGCTCTCAGTTTATAAAGTTCGGGGCCAGTTGTCACAAAGAGAATTTGTCATTATTATCTTTTGATTCAAATGAACCCTATAAAGCCTCACTGTGTGATATCTGATACGCAAATTTCTAAGGCCTTGAAAATCCTGTTGCACACTATCTTCTACATGCCCACTGTCGATTGAATGATAGCTTGTATTTTTTAGCACGTAAAAGCCTTTCAGTATAATGTCAGGTTGTGAATTCATTAATGATTTGTATCAAGTAGACGTAAGAATAACTTTTATATTGTTAGTAATATTTCATGATCACTAACTGGACTGATGCAACGTGTAAATCATGTTAAAATGTGATCCATCAGGCTTTTGAGAAACGTGTATTTGTTCATCTTTGAAACATCATTGTAATGCAATTATTTTTATTATTTTAAAACTACAGCACTTTGATCATAAAACTAAGTATTTAAATAACTTACATTTTTGGAGCTATACAGATATCATAATTCAGAATTTCATCTTACTTTTTGGCCATAGTTATCAGCAACTACACAGGATTGTATTTTTTGCGTCTGTTTGGTTCTCTGAATAAAACTGAGGTGTTTTGAGGAGTATGAGCTTTATATCCTCCTATATTCTATATTATATATATATGAGCCATAAAAGCTGATATATCAAATATGACACTCAATATAAAACTTTTCTTTTAATATTTTGTCTTAAGTTTCAAAAACTGCATTTTTCATTTAAAGAAAAATATTTTTCCATTCTGACTATTATGTCACATCTCAGGCATTACAGGGTTAACCCCATTATGTGTCCTGCAATACAAAATTAAGTTGTCGTAAATTCTGGTTAACCTAGGATATGTTTTTAAAATTTTGTGACAATTTCTCATTTAGGGTCATGCAAACTTTCAGGTTCAATTTGACCTGCAATTTAATGGTTAACCACAGCTGCAGTCACAAAGTAAAACCCTCTGAGGGTATTTAAGTTTACATTTATGCATTTGGCAGACACTTTTATCCAATGAAATGTATATTGCGTTGAATTTTTTTTTTCAGTAATTTTTTTTAAGATTTCGCTAAGGATCAAAGTAGTATTTTGGCGTTGCTAGCGTCATGCTTTACTGTTTGTTTCAGGAAAACACCCAAAAATAAAACAAAAACATTTAAAATAAAATAAAAATTCTAATGTCATATAAATGTAAACATTTTTTATAATACTGTTTATAATATTCATATTTTTTTAAACAAATGGTTAAAAAAAATTGTTGTTAAATCATTTAATAGCAGTTAAAATATGTGAGAGTATTTACTGTTTTTACCTGATTTTGTTTTTGAATGTTTTTCATAGTGTGATTTTTCATTAATTGTATTGAATCCAATTATTAATAAATAACAATTCATTTAATTTATGGGCGCATTTCAAGACACTCAAGGCCACTTTACAAATTGTAAGATACATAAACAATAAATGGAAAAAAACTAGTAATAATAATAATACAGTCATACACAAAAGCTATTTCAATCAGAATAAGCTAATACATTTTTTTTTAAAAAGACATGATTTTAAGACATGATTAAAAATGGAAAGACTAGAACTATTATGTATGTCCTGAGGTACTGTTTTCCAAAGACTCGGAGAAGTACAACTAAAAGCTCTACATCACATAGTAGTCAAACGTACAGATGGTTTAACTAGAGTCATAGAAGCAGAAGACCTGAGAGACCGGGTAGCTGAATACACATAAAAAAGTAACATAAGTATGAAGGTGCTAGATTATGGAGACTCTTATAAGTGAAAAGTGAAATCTTAAATTAAATCCAATATATAATAATAAGTAATCAAAATAAGATGTAACTAATGCACGTACAAGGACAGGGATGGTCGAAGACGATTAATATTTGTCAGATGATAATATGCTGACCATGTAATGTTATTTACATGTGCCTAGAAAGATTAAGTGCTGTCAAGGATGACACCCAGACTCTTGACCATCAGAGAAAAAGAGATAACAGGAACTGTTGATAGTCAATGTAAAACTTTCATAATTTTGCCATTTATTTTCAGATAAGCAAAGCAAAAGAGAGGAAGGTGGCAACGTTGACTTAGGCTTTGAAGATATACAGAGCTGGGTGTTATCAGCATAACAGTGAAGGTTTATACCGAATTTGCGGAAAACTTGTCCTAAAGGCAATAGACAAATAATAAATAGAAGAGGGCCCAAAACGGAGCCCTGAGGCACGCCATTAGTAATCTGAGATTTAATTTAATTTTTACATTTTTATTTTCAACCCGATAAATACGATCTAAACCATTTAAGAGGAATACCAGTCATTTAGGGTCTATTAGACCTCCAACATAAAAATCGCACCCAGAATTCAAACATAATACACACTGGTTAAGTTTTATCGAGCAGTGGTGTTGAATGTTAAAACACCTCCTTCAAAACCCTTAGATTGCGAAATAATTAATTAATTAATTATTTAATTAACATTTGTTTATATTTAATTCGGCTACTTTAGTGCATTATAGGTGAGTGTTTCAACTGTACCTGACATGGGAACAATTAAAACAAATGCACTTGTTGAATTTATGAACTAATCGTGAAAAATACTTTTATTTGGAGACAGTTGAAAGAAATATCACTTGAAAAAATTACATGTTTTTTATAACTAGTTTTTGTGTGGTAATGCAAAAAGCAGAAATTGATACCTAATATGTCTGCAATAACTGTTTTGAGGTCAAGCCAAGCTCTGTAACGGGTATAATGAGAGCACACATAAAAACAAGTAAATGTGGCATCTGATCTTCATCTCTCCCTCAGATGAAGACCATGCCGGAAAAAATCACAACTATGAGGGACCTAAATGAGTGTGGATTTGGTCAGCCTGGGCCCAGGCATGGACTCAAGCTCTTGTACTGGTTTGCTAAGGACTGTATCTGGGTTAATGACGATGGCGACATGTTCCTGGCCTGTAACCCGGCAGAGGGAGTCTTTGGCTTTCACCTCTTTGAGAACAGATACACCAAACGTAAAGAGAAACTTCTTCCAGATGTGAACTTTCACTACTATTTGCTGGGCAATCTGAATTCGCCAGGAGCTAATATGCTGCCGGAGTACATCAAGAAACACAACAACAGCATGCATGACGTAAACAACGCGGACCGCCTCATCGTCACTGATCACGAACAGAGGAAGTTTGGGAACATTTACCTGACCACGCACAATGATCAGTCAAATTATGATCCGAACGCCACATTTCATATCTCCAGGAGCCTCCTGAAGATCATCAAATCATATCCAAATCTAGAAGACTTTCTGCAGGGCCTTGAGGATGAAACATCTAATCAGCCAGCTTCGGTTGCATTTGTTGGACTGTATCAGATGGTGCAGGTAGAATCTGAAAAGAGAATTGATGTCACTGTAGATACCGATACACCATCTCGAAACTGTGTCTGTAGCTGTACTATACTCTGAAATTGTTTCATGAGGAAAAGTTGGGAGGGGAAAGTCTCTGAGATGTTCAGAGGTCAAGAACGCACCGACTGAACGCATGGGGGAAACCAGCTAGAAGCAGTTAGCGTTTGATTTAGTGGTTAGATTAGTTTCACTAACAGTTAAAGATTGATGTGCTTAGCTATGTGCTCATCTGCAGACTGAACTAGTCCAAGTAAACATGTAAACTTTTTTTGTCCATTTTAACATAAATATGCATGCGATTTTTGGAATATGCGAATATGCAGTCACTTTGTTTCTCTTGGTTGAGAATAAAGGCAAGCAAAAGAGAAAACTGTTGTCTTGTTTGGGTATTTGCTGTAAAAGAAAGACACTAGAGATGCTTGTTCAACCACTCTACCACCACTAGAGAGTAAATAAGTGATAAAGAACTTAAATTTTCCGAGTTCAATCTACAGCATTTAAGGCATAATGTAGATTATCACAAAAAAATGGGGGAAAAAATCTAATGAAAAATTACTAATTATGTTGATTAGTTGACATAAATAAAAGGTACATTGTGTATCTCTAGCGGTTTTTAACCTCTAACGGTTAAAAAAAACGGCATGCAGTTTGCGGAAGAACACTGTTTTGGTTGTGCTTCGGCTTTGCGTGACAGTGCGGATGAATATGACCCTTCACAATAGATAATGATTTACAATAAACTTTGTAAGAGAGCCTCATATGGCAATAAAATGTATCTGTTCAATAAAATACCTTACTCACCTGTTGAGTAATGCCATCTCTGTGTTGCTTTTACAACATTTCAAATCTCTCAGTTCTCACCTCTCCGAAAGGCAAGCCGATGTTGATTCCTATTTTGTTAAGATCTGTCGCGCTCTCTTATTGCCAGCATACTCTCCTCTGTTTCTGCGTTTGATTCTCTTGAAGCTCGATAATCAACTGCTATTTAACTAATTATCCATGCTCGTTGTGACAACTAAGTTAACCTCTGCCACTCTCACCATAAAAAAGTAGCCGGAGAAACTTTCTCTATTCACGGATATGACGAGCGAAGCATGGGCGAGTGACGTATGTACGCAATTTTCTGTGGAAACGACCCCAGACCACTGATCTATATAACATTTCATTATATTGATAGATCAGTGCCCCAGACGGACAGGTCTAAAATATAAACACTTATAATTGGCTTAAAGGTGCGCTATGTACGATCTATGTGTACGATTGACAGCTAGCGGTTGAAACGGGCAGTGCCGTCCAAATTCACACACACAAAAAACCAAGAAGAAAAAAACATTCCGACACTGAATGCACATTTCAAAGTAAAATAACTGACTGTATCTTTGTTTTTCAGATAAACGAGTATGTAAACAGCATGTTTCCTAAATATCTGCAAACATATTATGGTATTTTTATGCATTATTAGTCAAAAACTTAAAACACCTTTAACATAGTGAATCAGGGTAAGACAAAAACACGTTTTGGAAGGATTGGTTATGTATTAACTAATTCAAATTTTGTTCATTTTGAACTAGTTACATATAGCGTATATTATTTAAACAGAAAATTAATTAAAAAACGAATAAAAAAATGTTACATTTACATTTACCTTGACGTTTCAGTAATAAAGAGACGCTTGTAGTGTGAATTCTCATAGGAATGTGTGTATCATGAAGGTAGGGTGATTACCAAAAACCAGGACACTCGGCCCGGCAAACAGATACTCAAATGATACTCGAAGTTTACTCAAAGATGCCTTATTAATTTCAATACATTTAAAGTAGGCTATGCCTTCTCAGTATGGATAGAAATGGTTATATTACAAGACACAAATTCAGATAGGCTTCTCAGAGGTTACTCAACATGTTTTATTATGACAGGTTTCAAAAATAATGCATGAAATGATAGAAATAATGTCTCTTCTGTATTAGAAAAATTTATAAATAATAAATAACTAAAAGAAATACCTACAAATTGAACAAAAAAAGCTCTCACAAACTTACAAAAACAAACTAACAAAATATATTTAAATCTTTAGTTTTCTTCCTCTTTATCCTGTTTTTCTTCCTCATCCTCCTTGTTTGCCCATCTATATTTTGCTGTAGAGTAGAGCTGATCTTTCCCAGCAGTTTTTTGAAAACCAGGACATTTTCATAATTTTTTTAAAAAACAGCCAGGACGGCCAGAACAGGACATGAAAACAGGACATGTCCTGGGAAAACAGGACTGTTGGTCACCCTACATGAAGGTCAGCTGATAAGGTGGCTGGAAGCTTTCCTCCCTCTTGAGCTCTCGTTATAAAAACACTGCTTTAGCACACCGACCATGTGTAGAGAAAAGGTCCTTTTATTTCTGAAAAGGTCCAGAATACCTGCATATGTATTGTTATGTGCTGTATGTATGTTTTGTGATAGATTTCTCTATGCCAGATCTAATGTGATCCTACAGTATTCATTTCTACAAACCATGACGTCACCAGGGATAAGAAAAGAGCAGTTATACTGAATAATCTTAGTTTTGACTATCAAAGCTAATCTGAATGGAAACACATTAAACAAGAGGTCTAAACAAAAGGAATGGAAATTTACTGTGCAGACAACAGTTACGGCCTTAGGAGGAAAAAAAAAACGCTTATCGGCTTGTGTGAGATAGATGTTAAAGAGAAAAACTCTCCATGCCACAAAAAAAAACACAAAAAAAGACCTCCATGCCAAAAAATAAAATATCTAAAGTGCAAAGAAAGTATCACTATAATATTATTTAAAAAATGATTTTTATAAATTATAATGGTTTGGATTTTTAACATAGTTTGATGGTAATATTTGTCACTTTTTGGAGATAAAGTTGGATGAGTCTAGAACTTATGAAGTTATGGCAAAATTATTTAAAGTTCAGCCAACCTTTAAAACTAAAATGTATTGCCACCATTAGACATTATGGACATATTTGTTCTACTTGTGTTACTTTAAAGGGAATCACCACTGAGAACAATGGTTATAATAAAAGTAGTATACCGTATACAAGAAAAATGTGTCAAAACATGCATTTGATAACAGTAATTAGAACTTGAAAGGAAAATGTGCTTAATTGTCATGAGAATGAAAACAAATGATCCTGAGTGTTGAAACCCAGAGCACTGACTGAAGAGACCCAAACACCACAACCCAACTTTGTATAATAGAAAGTTTTAATTTCATGTTTTAACACAGGCATCATGTCAAGATACTTAAAAATGAAGAATACCTTTGTTCAGACCTTCATTTAAACTCAGACACACTTGCACATTCACTCTTTTGCAAACATACCTCAAGCTGCAGTGTATAAGAAAAATTAAGATATTAATGTACAGCAAATTTCTCCTCGAATCTATGTGTTATAAATAAGGTCTGATGTTGTCTAGATTGAGCCATTTCACAGGGAAATGTGGCCACACAAAGAGGTCCCTGTCCTGGCTCCTGACCCTAACAGAAGCTAAAATACACAAACCTGATCGCCTTAACAAACCTATGGACAACAGTTTTATAACCATTTAAACATTATTCTTACCTATTGTGACTCTTATAACAAGAAAGGAAAAATGACCTGGCTTCACTCGCCAACATACATCACACATAAAACTGCTCGTTCACAAATACACTAACAGTCCGTCTCTCGACGACTGCCACGTTTGAAGTCACTTCTACCTGGACAGGGATGTGATCCTGGAAAAAAGAAAGAAAAAATATAAATATAAACGAAAACGCCCAATTGTCATCATTTGCTATATCCAGCAAAGTAAACCATCAGAACACTGTATTTTGTGAAAGCTTTATTCAAGGTAAATTCAGGTCTTTCAAAAAAGGAGACTCCAAAAGGACACCAAATAACCAAATTATATAAATGCATAAATTTATGCAAACCAAAGCACCTATGAAAAAAAACTTTTCAGATTTCACAGTGTATAGTACGTGTACGGTAGAGCTGTCAAAATTGCTCAAAAATGACGTTCGAATATTCCCTAAAAAAAAACACATATTCGGACTATTCCAACATATGGTCGCGCATTTTGTCAATGACACGCATTGTGTCAATAACAGGACAAATTAACACAAAGAGACATAACTACTTGTATAGGTAGTTTAAGTTTAAACATATTTGACAACGTATTACCTACACAACAACAAGTAAATCAACTAATGATTTACTTGAGATGCCAAGCTCACTCGCAGGCACTCTTTCTCTCTCGCCCTCACGCTCTCTGCGCATAACGGTTTAAATGAACAACAAGAGTGCTGATCAAGAGTTTTGTGCAAGCAATTTAAGGTCGCGACTTTTGTCCCAAATATAGCAGGCTTCATTTAGTGATTGAAACAAATATTATTAACATTAATTGAAGTTTTACAGTATATTAAACCGACATTGAACGCTCCGAGCGAGCTGTGCTGTGGTAAAGATGGAAGTTTTCCTTGACATGAAACGGTAAATAATCAAACCAGTGTACGCCAGCAGTGCATGAAACTGCTGTATCTAACCTACCTTATTCATGCAATATCTATTTAGTCAGTACAGTAAGCCTACACTTTAGTAACTTTCCCTCAGGCAGCGTGCCCACTCGCAGCAGACAGTGTTACCGCGGGCGTGTTTTTCCACGTTCGAATATTAATTTTCACCTTCGAATTTCAGATTTTTAAAACTATTCGAATATATATTCGTTGACAGCCCTAGTGTACGGTGCAACAGCAAAGAGCTTGTTTACATTTTTGCGATACCGAACCGGACCACGTGAAGATTAAAGAGAAACTTGACTGCATATACAGTACTTACTACAGCACACGGATCCATTCAGAATTACTAAACATGACAAATCAAAACATTATCCTGATTGTGTGCGGAAACCATGTACTGAAATGTGTCAAACAAAACATATGATTTGTTTGCGCATCTGTAATAATTGACTCACAATGCTTCCTGTAACAGCAATCACAGAATATGCAGAGCTCGTATTTTAAAGCGAGAAACACAGGAATGAATAATTCACTGAAAATGCAACGAGAGTCTTTATTCTCTCTGCCATCTCTGATGTAATCAGCCTGGTTTTATTTACATAAGCACTGTTTTGGACTGATTGTTTGCATGAATTTGCTTACTGGATCATTGGAGTTTAGTGGCTTACAATGATCTGATCACAAACAGAGAAGCGTTAAAGGGTTAGAATAGAAATTTCCACCTACCAGGATTACAGGTGTTTGCGCTCAGTTTGATA